GGCAACTTCTCCCCGCGCTAAACCTTTTCGAATTTAGCTATTTAAAAATAACCTACTCTAAGAGTAAAATTCCAGAAATCAATAAGTAAATACTAGTACAAGCTATTCCAAAACGATTTCAAAACGCCAGGTAGATGAAATTGCAAAAATATACCGATACATTAGTCAAACCAATAAGCTTAATTAACAGCACAACGAATGAAGCTGAACAATCAAAATTCAGTGGTTTCGAAGAAGAAAATATTACCGCAAAAGTCAAGAGCGATTTTCAATCCATTATTAGCACCGTGACTGAACTCTTCCTCATTTCTGATGGAACCATTCGGTCCACCAGTCTTCGACTTAGCATCGTATGTTCCTGCATCGTGCCATCTGCGCAGAAACATAATTGAATAAACCTAAATATAATATACACATTTTAGACATATATTATATGTGTAGAGAGAGAAAGAGAAATTACGCTAAGCGAAGCATAATAGGAGCACAGTTTTTGCTGGAGATGAGAGCGCGGAGGTCGCGACGAGCTTTCTCAATTTCTTTGAGGTACTCCGTGTCGACGATTGGCTTCGCCATTGATGGAGGAAAGGTGAATGAGGATAAGATTTTTAGGAAAACGAGAAATGGAGGCACAGACTTTGCTGTTTGTATTTGAGGCTTCAATTGGTTGTTGGAACTTGGAGCTAAAAGAGGCGGGTCAAACTAGTTTAGCCCATTTGGCATTTGGAAAATTATCCTTTTTTTTCTTTTTCTTTTTCTTTTTTTTCCTTTTATATGGACACTTATAGGCATAATATAAGGAAAGAGACTACAAAAATTAGTCTTCATTAAATTTAGTCTTCAAATTTTTTAAATAATTCTAAATTTCTGACCAGACTGATATAATTTCGTGGAATGATACTCGTTAGGGCATCTCCAAGGCTAGCGCCATTTTTTGCACTAAATTTCACACTAAAATGGTGTAACATCAAATTTACTCCAACCATTACACCATTTTTTACACCAAATCTTCTCACTCGTCTATATTATATTATTATCTTCTATTTACTTTTCATTTTTTATTTCCTTCAAACTAATACTATCTTTTTTCTTTTTTCCATATTCATTATATATAATTCACATTCACCACTTATATAATCATTTATTACAAAATTATTGTATAGGATAAATTAACTAAAAGTGAAATCATTGATAAAAGATAATTAAATAAATATTACATCATAGTCAAATTTAATTTAAGTACCACATAAATATTTAACTTTCGCCTCTATTCTCCCATAAATGCTCGATTAATGCATTACGAAGTGCGAAATGCGCATCTTTATCCTTAATTTTTTTGTGTCGAACTAAAAATTGGTCAAATCGGTGATCTTCATCTACTACCATTTCTACCGTAGTAGCTGGACATTCACGTGCATCTTCAATTGGTGCATCAAGATCACGCTCGTCCTCAATTATCATGTTGTGCAGTATAATATATGTGGTCATTATATCATGTAGGACCTCTTTTCTCCAAAAACGTGACGGACCTGCAACAATTGCAAAACGCGATTACAAAACTCCGAATGCACGTTCAACATCATTTCGAAGATTACATGAAAATGATGCAATCGGAAAATAGTTGGCTTGTTGAGGCGATGGAAAAGTCAAGTAACTCAAGAAATGAAGCTTCGAGACAAAAAGAATACAAAGAAGAAAATAAAAATTTATTGACGATCCAAATCTTCGTGAATTTTTGCGACAAGAACAAAAAAAAATAATCGATAAAAGAAGTCAATAATTTCAACAACCACAACCACAACAATCTTCTACCCCGTTCTCTCAGTATTTTGGTAATTTTGGTACACCTGGAAATGACATATGGGATTACTAAACTTATGTTTTATGTTTTTAATGTAATTTCAATTTTAATGTATCCTCCTTTTAGGTATCTTACATTTGCATTTTTTATTTTTAAATAATGGTTATATTTCTTTTTATACAATTATAATAATAATAAAATTAACTTATAATTTTATATAAATATAATATATACAAAAATTAATATATCAAAAATATGATATAAAATTAAAATTATAAAGATCTTAATATAAAAATTAATTATATACACAATATATGATAAATTAAAAGTTCACAAAATAAAAGAATTGAATAAAATAATATTAAACCAAATTTAGAGTGATGAATAGTGTTGCACCAAATTTGGTGCAACACTAATTCATACTCTATAATAGTGCAAGAATTAGTGTTGCATTGGAGCAAAAAACCATTATTTTTTGCACTAAATTTGAATTTGGTGCAAGAAATAGAGTACCCTTGGAGATGGTCTTAGTAACATCACTCATGTGGGATGTCTTTTACTTAATAAATTTATTTATTTCTCTACTCGAAAAGTTGTTTGAGAAACTATTACATTCATAATTTGTTCGAGACATGTATGATGTACCACCTTCATTACTAGATAAAAGCCCATTAATTTAATAGTACTCCATTACCTTCTAACTTCTATTTCAATTTTAAATTTTTTAAAAAGGACAATTTCCATCACTTCAATCTTATGGACTTGCTAGTTGCTACCAGTGTTTTAAAAGGTGTTTTTGGGGCGAGCCCCAGGGAAGGCGTACCAAAAATGCCCTGAGACGATGGTGAGGGACGAAAGTCCCAAAAAGGCATACGCTCGGGCGGTTTTTTGGTTGAGGCGTTAGCCCAACAGACATCTTTTTAAAAAGGAATTAAAAATATTAAATTTAAAAGTAAACTTTTTAATATTGCTAAAAACTCTAAATTAGAAGTCTTTCCCAATTCTTTCCGCTAGTCTGCCTCTACCAAGAGCAATGATTTATCACTTTTTTTGCAACAGAAAACTTGCATTCTTCTCTGTACATCAAATTCAACATGTTTTTTTCTTCCTCCATATAAAAACATTATTATTTTGAACTCATTGCTTTCATCTCTTTTTATACATATTTCATTGCTAGTTTGTAAATATGTATATAATTAATTTTTTAAGTTCAGTGCTTCTCTTGCTCTCTTTCAAAATATAATATGGAATTATATATATGTGTGCTTCTATATGTATTGATTATATTTATATATAATTTTACTTATTTATTTGGGATTTATATTTTCATTAGAAAATACGGGATTTCACTTATATATAATTATTTGGGATTTATATATAATTTTACTTTATTTGGGACTTATATGTAATTTCATTAGATAATATGGGATTTATATATATTTACTAGTCTAGGGTATGCACTTTGCGCGTGTACCTATATCAATAAATATTTAATTTTTAAAAATTACGTAAATATTATTAAATATTGTGTTTGACTTATTGAATAAATATTAAAAATTACCTGAAAATAACGAATGTTAATCTCACTAAGCTAGCTCTATTAATAATTTTACTGAGCTAGCTAAGTGAGATTAATATTCATTATTTTTAGGAATTTATATTTTTTTAAATATTTTTTCAATAACTCAACTATATTATTTAATAATATTTACATATTTATTAAAAATTATATATTTATTGATATAGGTACACGTGCAAATAATAGAAGATATAAATTATTTTTGAACTTTTTTCCTATTCGAACAACATATTATTTTCTTTATCAAATTTGTGTTATAATTAAAAACTATATTAATAATTAAAATATATAATTAATTAGGTACCAAATCTCTTACTTTTAGTAGTATAAGAATGTTTGGCTAAGCTTATAAACTGGTCAAACTGGCTTATAAGCACTTTTTGGCTTACTACGTGTTTGTTAAAATTAAAAGTGCTTATAAGTTAAGTGCTTATAAGCCAAAAATAAACCAAAAGCTATAAGTTGGTCTCCCCCAACTTATCAAATTCTAGCTTATAAGCACTTTAAGTTTGACCAAAATATTTATTATTCTATCCCTACAATACTTCTTTTTAAAACAAAACTCTTCGTATACCCAGTTCTTTAGCTGCATATTATTAATTTCAGCACTTTTATCCAAACACATAACTGCTTATTTTTTAAATCTGTTTCAGCACTTAAAAGTATTTTTCAGCACCTAATGCTTATCAGTTACTCTAAATCAGTTAAGTCAAACGTATCATTAAGTAGATACGTTTCTTGCCTCTTATTTAAAGCCCCCTGCTCTGCATGTTTTTCCTTCAAATTAAACACACAACCCTCTACACTTATTTCAGTCTTTTCCTCTGTTACATATCTATTTATCAAAGTAATTTTATTGGGAAACTTCTTATAAGTTCCCCAATATAAGAAGAATGAATGTGAAACGTATTTTTGTTGAAATTTGTCGTTGGATACACCAGGAAAAGAAACGTTATATTAATACCTACCTTAGAGTCCTTAATATTAGAACTTCTTAAGTAATTCAAATAAGGAAATATTTAATAATAAAAAAACAAATTAATTTTAAAGTCCTATATATTAGGATAATAACCAAATTACAATTTTGTCTAATGTAAAGTTTATTTTTAAAGGGTAAAAAAGGCAAACGACATTTCGCTAAGGACCTTCGTGCTTTCAATGTAGTATATATATATATAGTTTTTTTCAAAATTTAATGCAATTTTATCTATTTAATAATATTTTTATAATTATATTATTATATAAAATATTAAAAATTAAATACCCATGGGGCTTACGCCCCGCTAAGGCATATGTAAAACGCCTCGCCTTAGGCCCGCGCCTTTTAAAACACTAGTTGCTACTAGGAAACTTTCCCTCAAATTCTGTCCTTTTCAATTCTTGATATGTTGCTCTTGAATTGCCTTTGCGACCAATCTTCAATTATGTCACTACTATTGTTGGCTGCCATAGGTTGGGTGGAAAAATCGATTAGCCAATGCCTAGGATATTAAGCATTACTATAAATCTAACAGGCTATAGCGTGCGGAGCGGCCCTCGATTTAACATGCGCCAAGAGGGGGAATAGATTCTATGCCTAAAGCCTCTTCAAGCTGTTAAAATAATACTCTACAAGACAAGAGAAAAAGGCAAACTAAACAAACAATTTTGTTACGTAGTAATGTACAAAACAATTGCAAAGATTTTTCCAACGTGAGAACTGAAAAAGGAAATATTTTTGTTTTCACTCCCCAAACATCCATCGGACAATCGAAAAACAGAATAAAAGGAAAATGAACAGGTTTTCGGGCATGGAACTTGCGATTAGATCATGATGCAGTTCTCCATTGCAGCTCAACTTGAAGGCGACCGTTCTTTGAATCAATGAGGTGGTACTTCTCGTTGATCCTTTTGTTGTTAACAACATCGGAAAGGCTTATATCAATATAACCCAATACCTCCTGAGTTAAGAAAAAAATTACACCAGTATAAGTTAGCTTCAGTAATATAAACAATTAAGTGAGCTTCATTTTTTTATAGATCGAGTAAAGTGAGAGCTTCAACAAAACAATGTCAAACACAAAACCAAGATTGCAGGAAGAAACACCGTTTTATTCCATCGCCCTTCTGGGATGACACGAGAGTTAACAATGTGAAAATTAGCATTTCATATTACCTTGAAAGGTGATTAACTAAAATAGGATGCATACCATTTTATCCTAACGGAGTATTACTGCAGTGTAAAACAGTAAATAACAGATGCGAGTTTCACCTTTTGAAACAGAAGCTATATAAAATGCACCATTCCAATTACTAATATCTGTTGTTACTATTGTATGGTGACACTTCAACTGTTCAACATCATATTCTAAAAGGTCATCTCAAGTTTCCAGAGAAATACTACTTGCAACAGTCCGTTGTTCCTCCCTTAAGGCATAATAAATATCAGAAAAAGCAATTTCTGTACCTTAGGATGCAATAGGCCAATCCTTGTTGAGGTGCTGACAACTTCCAAATGCAGCCTATCATTCACAGGAGGCTCCTCCAACACAAAGGTAAAATCCTCTCCCCATCTTGGATCTCTGTTCTTCTTGACTTGCTGCAATCAAGGTGGATAAATCAAGTAAATGAATGTGAGCAAAATTAGACATAGTGCAGGAAATTTCTTGCATTTAAGTCAAAGTCAGACTAAATACATACTGCAGATCCAGAAAAGCTAAATAAACAAAATTATAAGTAAATGAACCTCCAGCAGTTTTATGAGCTACATGGATTTACTATGAGGGCGAGAATGCAAATCAAATTTGCACACAACCTTATTATGGGGAGATTTATAGTAACAGCAGAATGAAGATATACGACATTTATATTAGCCAAAAAGGCTGAGAACGGTATACAGCAGAATAAAAGATATGCAGCTTTTTAATTCAAGAAACAAAAGAATAGAAAACGAATTTGTAGTCTCATTGGAAACACAAACAGCATAGTTGCTGAAATTATAGGAATCCATCATGCACTCATAAGGATTTTGAAGACAGAATGGAAGAAATTCATCCAGGGAGTGGACAGAATGGAAGAAATTCATCCAGGGAGTGGACCCCTAGAAGCAACCTTTGATACTGCAATTTTTCTCGGAAGAACTTAAGTTTCCATAAGACATTCCCTAAGAAAAGGACGTTTTTGTGCAAAATCTATAAAAAATTTGGAGCTCCCTTACAAGAGAAGATGAAGATTCCTGCACAACCACATTAACTCAAGCAACTACTTAGTCTGACCTAGCAAGAATCTCTTATCCTAACTAGCAATGCTTTATTTTCATATAACCCAAAAATGAAAAAAGAAAGAACGAAAAAAAGAAGTTACCGCGAGCTTTTCATGCTTCAAAAAGTCGAAAAATGTTCTATACAACTTAGTAAAGTAAAAGGTCCCAGGAAACTAACATGCTTGATGGAATGGTAATTGAACTATACGTTATATCTGTGAGGCCAAGGAAGGAGATCTTGGGAAAGATGAAGTAATAATATCCACACCCAAATCTGATTTTGTCTTTTGATCTATATAATAATCTCATGATATAGGATATCACTTCTTCATGGTGACTTTTTCCTCGGCTGCTTAGCCCCTCCGTCTAACCTCTGTGATTGATGTCTCCATCTCTCTAGCTTTCTTGATACACGAGTCTCAAATTTGAGCATTTGGTAAACTTAGATAGTTTGGAAAAGCTTATAAGCTGATGAAACTAACTTATAAACACTTTTTGGCTTATATATGCGCTAGGTAAACATCAAAAGTATTTATAAACCAAAATCAACAAAATATCATAAATTGATCACCCCAGCTTATGCTTTTTAAGCACTTTCGACTTGAAAGAGCGCTTCACTACTTTATCCCTAATATTATTTGTAATCCTCGAAATAACCTTCACAAAACAAAACCTCCAACTCCCTCTCCGTTCTATTTTCAATGTCCATCCTTCTCCATGTTATTTTAAACCAAACACATCAACTGTTTATTGTCATATCAACACTTCTGTCCAAACACATAGTGACTTATTTGTAAAATCAGTTTAAGCATTTAAATGTGCTGTTACCACTTGATGATTATCAGCTACTTTAAATCAACAAAGTCAAACGGGCTCTTAGAAACTAAGCCAATGCAAGTTTATGATGAAGTACAAATGCCACCACTGTCCTGGTTTAGGTGGCATAACCTGACAAGCATAAAGGTTTAGAATTATTGTATCAATAGGTTATCACATCAAAATTATCAATTTTTGTTCTTCAGAATGTGGTCAAGTTAGCAAGTAATATCGAAAGGAGGGAGTGCATTCTAGAGAACTTGGATACCCAGGCTAGCGTAAAGCCTAAACACTTGTGAGGTAGAGGTATTGAGGTTGAAAGGTTGAAGATGAGTGGGGAAAGAGTTCTATAATGTCCTACCCATTTCTATCATTGTCTGTCAAGGAGAGAACAATGAAGGACTAGAAACAACAACAACAACAACAACAACAACAACCCAGTATAATCCCACTAGTGGGATCTGGAGAAGATAGTGTGTACGCAGACCTTACCCCTACCCTAGGGTAGAGAGGTTATTTCCAAATAGACCCTCGACATCCTTCCCTCCAAGAACTCCCCACCTTGCTCTTGGGGGTGACTCGAACACACAACCTCTTGGTTGGAAGTGGAGGTTGCTTACCATCAAAGTAACCCCTCTTGTCAATGAAGGACTAGAAAGAAGAGGCAATTTTGTACCTTAGTTTTTTTCTCCTCCCCTTTGAAAATAATCCTGACATATGGATTAGTATGGTGCTTTCCTTCAACATCTTGAGCTTCGTGGACCGTAATCATAAGGACGCCTCCCCCTGGTGGCGTTCCTTCTGGAACTTTTTGTACTGCATCTGACTCTTCAAATTCTTTCGGTATCTGGTCCTCCTTAAATGGTTTGTAGGTTAATTCCACCATGATCTGACCGCGGTCCTTGTCATTCTGAGTATCATTAGAATCCATGTTCTTTAGGAGATCCAGTGTCATAGTTTTCGATTCATCAGGGGTCAAATCTTTCAGAGGAATAACGTTCATACCCATCTTATCATGTTTGCCAATCTGAATAAAGAAGGGCCTGAAGCTTGAGATAGCACAAAGAAGGAAAACAATAATGAATGTGTATCAAGAAACTAGAAAAGTTACCTGCTCCCAATCATAAACAGAGAGCTCCAATGCTTGTGTTTCTGGATCTTTAACGACCATATTAAATTCCTCATCCCACTCTGGATTTAAATTCTTATGCTTCACAGTGGTTTTCTTTGAAGGAAGTTTTGACTCAGTGAGCTTAACTTTTACGTAAGGATCAGATCCACCCATTAAATCTTTCTTTCTCAGCTTCATTGCCCTCAGAATCTTCACATGCAGGATCCCTACAGGTTTTTTCATTGCTCTACATGTTCGCAAAGTGAAATAAAATGACACAATTAATTGAAAGTGATCGCAAAACCTGAGACAAAGAATATGATAACAAAATCTAAAAGTAAAGAAGACATACTTGGATGGATCCAAAATCTGCACTTCTAGAGTTTTAGGCCACAGATACATGTTAGCAACCTGATCTTTAATGGTCTCCTGTTAAGAGAGTTCCACAATATTAAATGACACTTATAACAATAAATGACACTTAAGAGAGTCTGATCATGACTACGACAAAAATGTTATCCCCTGCACATGCACTTATAACAGCTGCTTTGTGTCATTAAACTCAAATCTCTATACACAAAATTTTGGTAAGAAATTCCTAGTATTCTTAACCTTAGAAGCTAAGCAACAAATATGCTTACAGTCTTCAGCAAAATACAGTAAAGGATATAGACTATTTTTCAAAATAGAGCAAATGAGAAGGCTAGAAGCATAAACTGTTCCAAAAAGAAATAGAAGACAATGGACCACCAGAAATTATAGTACCTGGACAAACCTGTACAAGCCAGGAATGGACATCAGATCAGCACCCAAAAGCTTCAAGCCAAAGTCAACATGTGGCTGTAAACCAATAAGAATCTAATAAGACAATGTTTTTGTTCATTTTTGGTGTAAAGAAAGCTATTTAGAAGATGCAGAACCTAGAAATCATAGAACACTTGTAAATGATAGAACAAGGACGTATCATTGCTTTTTGAACTGTAAATATGGCTTAAGCACAGCCTTTGCGCTGACACTAGTATACTGTTACCTTTCACAAAAAATAAGAATCTACTAAGATGTATGTCAGCAAATGCAAATCCGCCCTAATAAATTGAAATGAGTCCATAAATCTATAATATCAAGGGAAGACGCCAACCATGGTGTGATAAACTAGGGTAAACTATACGAGGGATGACAGAGGGATCATGTGGATAGAGGACTTCAGAAGGGCCAAACAGGATTGGACTTGGAGTGAGATGATGTTAAGGAATTTCGCAGCAAATATATCAATAGGAGAAGATGGCATGGCCAAGATGATATAGAGGAGGTCAAGGGCGAAGTCAGTCATGGTAAATCAGTTTAATTGGAATTAATAGGAAGGGAAAAGATGTAGTTGAGTCAGTTCAAAAGAAAAGAAAAAGAGGTAAGTTTGGAAGAATTTACAAAGTACCAATGCACTGTAAAAGTAGCTATTTCCACTTAGTATGCATGCGGGATGCAATTTTAACGGCGGATAGTCCATAGAAGTGGGGCAAAACATTGTGAGTTGGAGTTCCTCGTGAAAGGAGCATGGATAAGACAAATACCTCATGTTGCAGTGCAGCTTTACATCTATGTTATGCACACTGGTATTCTCTTGTCTAACATTTCATGGGTGCTACCAAGGTCAGTGGATAAGCAATGTTGAGGTGGAGTTTACAAAAGAGAAAAACAGCTTGGAGGACAAAGATTTAGGACACTGACTGAAAGTAGGGAGATGGAGGAATGAAACATAAATAGATTAATTTTGTTTTCCCAATATTTTTGGTGTAATTAGAGAATTTTTTATTTAAAAAAAAATAAAAAAAATAGAGGAACATGGGGTAGTTTCATACATATACATGCCCCCACCCCCCTCCCTTTTTTAGTTTTGATATAGTTAACCGCCACTTCCCATACCAAAGATTGACCGACCGCGCTCCTTCTTCACTTTGTTCCTTTGGTGACTCAAACCCCTGTCTTATCATGGGAGATGGAGGGTCCTTACACTAGGCAATCCCTCTCCCCATTATCTATGAATGACCCATATCCATAAATTATTCGTATACCAGCTACACGACCATAAAATACATTCTTGATTAATCAAAAAGAGGAAAGATGCCAACCCTATAACCATAGGATTATACAAGGAAACAAGACAACAGTTTGGCTTTGAAAATTTTGCTTGTTCTTTTTTCTTTCGCTCCAAACATATAAACCTCCTCTTAAAACATGTGCCAGATGCATAACCTACCTTTTCCATGAGTGACACCAGGATTTTGGCAAAACATGGAAAGCTTGGAACTAGAGGCTTCAAAGTAATACGTGGAGCTGCAAAAACCTGCAAGTCCACGACCTGAAACATCCACTCAAGCAATTAATTTTGGCCATTGTTGGCAATTGGCATTCTTTTGTCAAATCTCATCAAAATGTAAAACACCAAAACACGTAATGCAAAACCTGAACAGTTGCTTTCAATCCGAATGCTTTGACCGCAACAGTGACATTAGGATTTGCTGCCCACTTTAATGACGGTTCCATGATCAATTCTTTTTCGTCAGTAACATAGACCTTCATCCCTGCCAAGTAGAAGCATACGAAAAAATTATGATGAATTTAAGCGAAAATCAAACACAAAATCTAGTATTTTAAACCATTATTACAAAGATGAATAAGAGGCATTTGACCAAAGAAATCTACGAGGCTAGTTGATAACCGAATCCAACTCAGTAAACCATATCTTAGAGCGTGACCAACATCAATTACAAGACTACAAGAGTCCTACTTGATATAATTGCCTGTGTAGAATATCATTTCTTAGAAAAAGCATGCAGTTACACATCCCAGAAACTTATGGCATAGAAAGCATACACTACTAGGTTAAATGAATAAATTTGCAATATAATTTTTTCACATTTAAGTAAATATTTTGGGGACAGTAAAGAGAAAGTAATCATATTCAGGGGGCAGATTAAACAATTGTTTTCAAAATTCTCAATCAAAGGACAGCTAGCTAACAAGAAGCTGATCCTTTAAAGTTCAAACTCCTCTAACTTTTCTCCTCTCACCTCCAAGCTGTCCAAGGCCTTTGATAGTGAGTTTTTTATCCTTCTATTAAAGGTATACGCTACATTAGTCCAAATTCTATGGGACTTCCCAGTGATGCGATCAATTTTATCCACGTCGTACAGAAAGTAATTCTGAGTGAAAGAATGACAATAACTGCGTGCTCAACTGCTTAACCCCAAATTAGATATGAGCATGATTTTCAAAAATAAATGGATCAGCAACAAAGTGACGCACACAGTGTCAAATAGAAAGAGCACAATCAGTTAATCAAATTCTTTTCAAAAACAAATACTATGTCATTTAAGCAAAATATAACAAATGGCATGCTTCATATCTTATGCTACGCATTATTTTTCTACAGATCTCAACAACATGTAAGATAAAATAGGAGCAAATAAAATTTTTTGGTCGCCATAGAAAAGGACTAACCCTGGAAAGTAGGAGGTAAGGACCCCAAAGTTAGTGTTTCAAATTCAACAGAATCAATTTTATATTTTGGTATTTGCTCAGCAATAATTGGTGCCGCAATATCTTTTGCAGTTCTGCAAATTGCCTGCTCAAAATAGTTGAGCAATAGTTAGTTCATTTCCCTTTAACAAAGATATAAAGGAGATAGATAATGCAGAATGATGTTCAGAAGAGTACCTTGTCCAGGTAAGGCCACATATACTCGAGAAACTTGTTGAGCCAGTCCACCTTAAGTTTAGAAAATATAAAGCAAATAAAAATATATTCATTGATAAGCTACTTTAAATGCAGTTTAGACTTCTGAATGTACATACACGGTCATAATCCGGACATTTGATCCAAAGAGGAATTTCAGACAGTATCTGCTGCAAGCTTTTAGTATCTCGCTCAACCAATGGACGAATAACAGGGTCCTGATAGTTTACAGGAAATGCATTAGCTGTTCAGCCACAAAAGGAATAAAAAACACTGATTGGGTACAATTAAAAAAATGTAGCCGTTGCAAACAGATGAGGAAAAAATGAAACACCCTGAAGAATAAGTGAAACTGTTTAAATGACATGGGTGCAACCAAGTAAGTTATGACCTTTTTCCTCGGATTGGTAGTTAAGTTATGCCTTTTTGTCTTGTTGATAAACAAAGGTATTATCATTAGTAGTATAAGCTGAGCAACAAGCTGGTACTGAAACAAGGTACAATTAATCTGGTAGTTGTGGCCAATGTTCTAAAAGGCGGGGGCGTGAGGCGAGACGTTTTACCTCTGACGAGGCGAGGCGTAAGTCCCACGGATCTTTAAATTTTACTAATTTCAAGAATTTTAAGATAGCATAAAATAAAAAATAATTATAAAAATTACATTAAAATTAGAAAATTATAAAAAATAATCTATTTAAAATATTGATAAATTATAATTCAACTATGAATAATGCAAAAAGTATGACATATATCATAATATGCAAATTAGCTGCAACGTCGTTACAACTCAAACATCAAAAGTAATTCGATATGAAATCCTATATGTATCTCTTAAGGACGATATTATAATTTTATATTTTTCTTAAAATATTCCTTGTATTTAATATGCTTTCTATTTGAAAGAGAATTTATATAAAAACATAATTCACAATTGAAATATGATTCTCTAGTATCAATTATTTTTAAGTTTCAACAAGTTAATAAAGTGACACAGAATTCACCATATAATACCATGATAACTAACTATTTGTAAATAGTTACTAACTGATAATGAGCTATTAAATTAATAAGTATTGTATCTTGTAAACATGATAAAAATAATTATAAAAAAAATTATGGACCATATTATATAGTAAAGACGTAACAAAAGTTAATAAATAAATACTTTTTAAAATGAAAGAATTATTTAAAATTAACTATCATAGCAGTCTTAGTGGATAGTGTGTAATAATTTTTATTTTAATTATGACATAAAATACTCCCAACTTAATGATTTATGACTAAGAAAAAGTAATTTTGAATAGTCAACGATTTATTAAGAAAATTTAAGGATTTACAAGGTTAATTACATACAATTGCATAAAGTTCTATTAGGCGAGCCCAGTACGCTGGGCGTTGGGCATGTCCGGGGCGTAAGCCCCGATGGCCGAGGCGTAAGTCTCGCGGAACTAAGCCCCACGCATAAGCCCAGGGTGTTTTACGAGTGCTCCACCTCGGGGCGAGTCCCGGACGAGTCTCAATTCTACCTTTTAAAACAGAGGTTGTGGCTTCAAAACAATAATTAAACAGCATTTTGGCATGGCCACATAAAACAAGTACTTACTGGAGAATCTCAAAAATCCGAAGACCTGGCAGAGCAATTGCCAACTAAAAACATTTGATAATCCTGTGAAACTCGTGTTCATTTACAAATCTCACAATTTTTTTTACCAAAATAGAAGTCAAATTATCTACATACACAACGTTGAAATTACAATCCATAGTGCACTTTTTGCTGAACCAAACAATTAAACCTTAGGGCAAATGTGCAGCTCCAGTATACTAGGTCAACTAGTGGTTGACTTAGCCAGTCAGATTAACCCAATTCCCAACAACAACAATAAATTGCGGTGCAGCTATTCTTATGGTGATACTAATTTTCAATTTATCAGAGACATCGCCTAATGAAATGCCCAATACACATAAATAGCAAAGGAAAACACACATAACACAGTAAAATAGAGAAATTCTCAATCCAAGTACAACTTAAACCCACAATTATAGTGTGATAGCAAGAGAAACGCAGAAACAATGACAGAAATAAAGCAAAGAGTGCAACACCTTAACATCACAAGGCTGGAAGTAGATGAACAGATAGTATCCGATCACCAAGCCAAATGAAATCCCAACTCCAAATCCACAGAAGCCTAATATAGTACTCACAAAACCCATCTCTCTAAAAAACCACACCAAAACCCAGCTCAAAGTTAGCGTTCAACAAAATTTGTCCATATGAATCTGCTCCACCTTCTCTCTTACCATATATACCAACGCCATTGATCAGGATAAATTAATATTTAGAGGAAAGGACAAATGTGTCCTCGAGGGAACTTCTTCAGTGTCAATTTAATGCCTTGGGAATTGTGTCCTTTGTCGTCTTTTCAAATTTAGATATAGATATTTCGGACAAGCTTTAGCGCAAAGGACGCTCCGGGTTAAGTGAATAGTGTCCAAATTAACTGACTCCTGAAAGGCGTAAAATGGAAAGAAAATGCACGTTAAATTTTTGAAACGCACGCGACACACGTTATGATTTATAAACTGTATTTTTGATTTTTATTAACGGGAGGTCACCGACGTTACTGCAGGCCCCAGGAATTAAAGTCACCAAAACTTTTCACTACTAACCAAGTGGATAACTTTTTCTGGCATTGTACTTAAAATGTTAGCCACTTTACGAAATGGATGAATTTTCGTTTTGACTTTAAACTTAGGACAATTTATTTATCTAATTCTGAAAGAGGGGTCTTAGTTTGTGCAAATCATGTATCATTTGGTTTGATTGGTATATTAGTTAAGTAATTTGAATTCGAGATATCGCATAAATATTAAGATGTTTGATTGATAGCATAATAAAAAGAAATTATCTTCGCATATTAATTTTATAGTTGATTGATTGAATCAAGAAAAAATAAATTCAAATAATTAATGTAGAATGTGGGTGTGTGGTAAGGTGGGTGCGCCAATGGAGTTGGGCCGGTGGATAGGGGTGGGGCAAGATGGGGGTTGGAGGGTAGAAACCAATTTAGAGGCGTATTCACTGTTTTATGATATGTGTGCACCTAATACGAAAAGGTGAATCTAAAATTCACATTTGACGGATTCAATATTTAGGTTCTTTGTATGAATTCATTAATTTTTTTGAAATTATAAGTTTAATTTTATTTTATTTTTGCAATTTCAGTGAAATTTCACATATGTATATATACTCTGTGGCGAAAATATTGAAATCATTTTAATTTATTGACTATATGATAAATCCTCCATTGGTGCTAAATTTATTACATATATTTTTATAGAAAATACATAATTTAGTGAACAATGACTTAAAAGGAGAATAAGGATTTTAATATGTCGAGCTTGAAAATTTTGAAAGTATAAATCAAACAAAGAAAAAAATGCTTAATTAAAACGTTAAAGGGGCACGCCAAACATGTTAATCCCCATGGGTGGACCCAATTATAAAGAAAGAAAGAAAACACAACAAAACATACATGTGATTTAAACCTTCGAGCTCAATTCTAAAAAAAAAAAATAACAAGACAATCATGCGATTTGAAATCCCGACTTCGCTTAAAGGTGCCATAATAATGTAATACCCTATATTTTTAATAAGGGTGTATTGGTCATTAGCAAAATAATAATAATAATAATAATAATAATAATAATAATAATAATAATAATAACAACAACAACAACAACAACAATAAGAAACTAACTATAAAAAAAATCAAAAAAGGGGGAGGAGGGACAAGGAATTTAAGACAAAAGGCCGAAGCCCATAACAAACATCTGCCCTAAAATATTAAAAAAGGGTTAGGGGATGAAGCAGAAGCTTAAGGAAACGGGAAAAATACAAAAGCAGGGAAGGAAAGAAAGAGAAAAGAAGAAAAGAGAGGATGAAGAAGAAAGTTTTGGACAGAGGCTTTAAGAAGAACTGGGGGTTGAAATTGAATCCTTCGGCTCAAGAGGTTAACCTTCTTCTTATCAGTTAAATTATTTTACTATATCTACGCGATTTCATGTAGTACAAAAGAATTACATATCAGTTTTTTATAAATAAATAAATAATTACTATGGACAGTAAGGCCATAAAGGTTTGGTTTAGGTACTGATAGGTCTAATTTGGAGGAATAAAGTATACTAAATAGTTTGAAATTGATAGAATTATGGACTAGTTCTATGATTAAATATAAATACCTTTTTATTTACAAGATTTTTGGACTAATTTAAATTACTCATAACATGGGTAAATATAAATCCACAAATTAAGACTCAAACATGAACCCCGATGATTGGATTTTCTAAAATAGCTATGAATTAGCCTAAATAAGGAAATTAACACGAGATCGATATTATGTAATTATAGATTGATTGGAGGAATTTGTACGCATTGCTCGAGGTGAAACATTTGGTATTTCGGCACGAGTACTGTGAGTAGTAATCTTGCCGAAATTTGTGTTTTCATAACTTGCATGATTTATACATAATTTTTAATATGAATATGTTACTGATTATTTTAAGTTGCACGTGGGACAAGTCTTTTACTCGATATGATATCGAAATAGTTATTTGAGAAGATTACCGTTGTTTAAAATATTTTCATTGTCACTAGATCTGTTTTACCGTTACTTGAATTTACTGTTATCTAAAAGAAATTATATGATTTGATAAGAACCGAAATGTCCTATATTGTTTTAAAATATTTTCTATGAGTATATACAGATTATAGAGATACGTATAAATGAGAGTAGACATTGAAGGTTCCCGCAGCTAACGGCGGGTTCGTTAGACCTGGTGCACCTTGTAATTACAGATTACTGTTATAGCTCTCGCTAGTGGGAAGGTAAAACTAGCATACCGTTACCGATTTCCCTCGAGTAGGGACTACCTTTATATTTGACTTTTTGCGAAGAAGTCCACAGTTATACCGATTACATGATCCATTCATTGAAACCTCCCAAATGTGAATATCGATATTAGACAGTGATTACCGAGCTTATTACCGAACTGTTAATTGTATTATACTACAAGAAAAGCATGACGAGACTGAAAATTATTTGTTGTTTCTGAAAATGGCATTTTTATGTTATTTTCTTTTTGATATACTAGCATGTTTTCTGACTTGTCCCCGATAAGAACGGTTGTGGTTAAGTGTTATTACTCACTGAGCTAGCTACTCATTCCCCGCTAATTTTTTTTACAGAGACAGCAGTTGACGCAGACGAGGATTTCGTTAATTAGAGCTCACATGTTGATATTTTTCGGTGAGCCTCGCACTTGTTCGCGTGGGCAGAGATTTTATTTATTGTTATGGTCTTTTCATTGAACTCTTAGAGTCGCTCCATAGTCATTATTTTAGTGCCGTGAGTATTCTTTTATTATTATAGTCTTATGTTGAGTATCGTTCCCATTTATCAAAGTTGGAGATAAATTAGTATTTCTAGTGGTTAGTTGGTGGTTTAGTTATGGTGGAGACTTGTATTGGTTAATGGACAAGTTGTCAATTGTTTGGTATGATATTATGATGTTTGGTTGTTGATTTGAGACAGAAAATTTTTTGGGATGGTCCAAAAACAGGGGAAACTCTGTCCGATTTTCTGTAAAATTACCGATGAGGCTTACTTGGGAGCACTTGCTCATAAACGCCGGTCACAATCCTAAATTGGATCGTGACAAAGTTGGTATCAGATCTTAGGCTTTAAGTCCCGAGGCATGGAGCAATGTTTAGTAGAGCCTTGTTCATGGGTATGTAAGTGCTCATACTTATGATCTTGAGGCTACTGAACATCTAGGAATGGTTTCCCTTCTTTCATTCTTTGATCGTGCGTTGAGATAACTTGAGATTGACTTTGGAATATTTCGTTTGCAGATGGCTAGGACACACACACCCTCATCTGCTAGACATGGTGCTACCCAGGGTGGCGGTCAAGTTGGGGTTCATCAAACTAGAAGACAGACTGCTCCTCAACCTCAAGTTGGGAACATGGGTTAAACCCAAGCTGTTATGCCAGATCAAGTGCAAGAGCAGTGAGTTCAGAACGCTCAACCACCAGTGTCAACTGTTGTACCTACTGTTGCCTTACTTGCAGATACAATGACAAGGTTATTGAATGTGTTAGAGGCGTTGGTGCCTACTCAGGGAGGAAGTTTAGCTCCTCATGCTACTTTACAGACACAAGCACCTGCACAGACTCGGACTTTCGGGAATAAGGAAGTATCCCTACAAGAGTTTCTGAAATTGAAATCACCAAAATTCACAGGTTCCGATAATTTAGCAGATCCTCAAAGTTTCTTGGATGGGACACTTAAGGCATTACGTGCTCTTGGATGTTCTAGTGAGAGAGCCGTGGAGCTCGCAGCATACAAACTAGAGGATATGGCCAACACATGGTATGAAACAGTATTGCTATGAAGGCCAGCAGGAGCACTACCATTGACATGGGACGAGTTCACTAAGTTGTTGAAGAATTATTTTCTTCTAGATAGTCTGATGCAACAATATGCTAGAGACTTTGAGAGATTGGTTCAGACTCCAGATATGAATGTGTCAACATATAACACTAAGTTCTATAAGCTGGCTATATATGCTCCTCGCTTAGTGCCTACCGAAGAAGCTCGAGTTAACAGGTTTGTTGATGGATTGGTTGGTTGTCTATACACTACAATAGCCCCACAGATGAAGACTTTATCCTACTCTGATGTAGTCGACCTTGCTAGAAAGATTGAAAATAAGCGACGTGAGGAGCGTGCAGCTAGTGATTTACGTAAGAAGGCCAAGACATGAGGGGCTTTCAGTGATGGGTTTAGTGAAAATAGAAGAGCAGGAAATTAGGGACAACAACAACAACAAGGTTCTCAGATAGGGACACACATGTCTTCATAGTCCACATACAGACCACATTACAGACAAGGTAATAGGGGACCATCATCTTTTGGACATCGTAATTCTGGGCAGATATATTCCACTACTCCAGTTTGCCAGACTTGTGGTAGATCACATTTGGGCCAATGTCGTGTTCTAACTGGAGAGTGTTTTTTATGTGGCCAGTTGGGACATCACTTGAGGGATTGCCCTCAGCCTCCGAAAAATTTCAACCAGGCTTCTATTCAGTCAGCTGCACCGACTCAGACTACTCGTAATACTTCAGGTGCTACAGGTACAGGAAATAGAGATCGAGGTGCTGGAGACCGTGCTGCTGTGAATCAAGGACAAGGCAATGTTGGTAGAGGTTAGGCGAGAGTT